TATCTGACATATTTCTTCTTTTTTTAACATTGCATACACTATCTGAAATAATATATTTCCAATACATTATTACAAAAGCTATAATCATTTCCTGTTTTATCTTTTTCCTCGTTTCAATACAATCTAGTTGTAAATGTTCTGAACGTCGCTACATTAGCACAAAAGCTTCATTTCCTGAGATATATTAGTATGTATTATACCTAATGATGGCAAAAATAAGAAATGAAGACAGGAAAATCACCAGCCCCTACCCTGTTAGAATAATAATCAATAATTATACTAGTATTTATGTAGTATAGTCCGGAAACAAGTGAAAGAGCACCGAAAAAATATAACTATTTTTAGGTGACTTCCAAAAGGAAGAGATTCTCAATACGTCTCATTTTTTTGGCTATGTTACACGACCTCATTGTCAAATCGGATTTTCCTAAGTATTTTTTGATATCTAAATATATTTGATATAGTTTACAATGCGACCTTAATCAGTCAGATTGAAATTTGGTATACAGGTACTATAAAAAAGAGGGTGAAGAAAGACACAGGCTACTTTTTATCCCAGTCAGTAAACATATCCCGGTCGCGCGGAAGAAGTCGTGGTTAAAAGCTAGTATATTATTAAGGTGCTCCCATTGCATTCGCAATTGCTTGACAGTATCGTTACTAGGTACTTGAAATTTTAATGATTTCCTTCATTACTTGTTCCCTTGCATCATATTTGCGGCTTAGTAATAAAATATGTTTTAACTTTGTTATTTGCATTTTAATGATCAAGCTGAAAATTAATCGATTTTCAAGTTGATCATTAAATTGCGACTGTCAATAATTTCAAAAATTATAAAATCCATCTTTTATAAGTATTTTTTATATATGACGTTCAAACTCCGTTTAAAGTTAATTTATAAAACTTTATTTATAACAAAACAATGTTAGATACAACAAAAACAATCAAAAAACTTAATCCATAGTTAAAGTAATACATCATCGGTTCACACAAAAGCATCACAACCGGATTCACAATGATGTCATCGTAACAGAAAGATCGTTGCATACTTATAAACTTCTAACGAAGTAAACCTAACCATTAATCTGAGATAACAACATTATTTATATTAACTTAAAGATCGAGGGGTGGGTAGCAGCGTCCGTAAACATCACCAAAGCAAAATGTGGCAACTACTGGCCAACCCCCTATTATGCGGAAGACCTATATTCAGCATTGGACAGTTAATAGCTGATATGATAATGAATATCATTATTTCTCAATAATACATGGGAATGAGTATATGAGTATTATTGAGACATAATGTATATATATATATATATATATATATATATATATATATATATATATATATATATATACATATAACACTTGTCATGCTCAAATTTTGCGAGCAAATGCATTTGAAACTAACATGGCAGGAGGCGTTCTTACCACCGTTTCTCGAATAAATTTGAATATTCCAAAGCGGAAAATAAACATAAAAATTTTAGGTGTGTTAACTGGAGGTTAACACACCTTCAATTAAAAATAAAGTTTACTTGTCTAGATTGATTTCCTAAAATTTTATTTCGATATCATTCATAAAATATAATTATTTATTTTTATTTTTACCTTTTTTTAGATATTTATTCGTTAAATTTATAATTATGAACAAATGTGCATTATTCAATTTCAATACTTATTAACCATTACTATTATTATATATTAGATTACTTGTGTTTAACAAGTATTACGTATAACACCTAATTTATTCACTATATTTTACTTGTCTTAGTTACAGCAAAAGATGATTTTTATGGGCACATTTGTATTTAAATAAAGTTTAATTCCTCTCCATAATAAATACCAAATAAGATACAGTAATTATGTTTATTACAGCATTACGGCATATTCACCAAACTTTGCTACATGATGCTATGACCTTACAAACTATTTTTGGTACCAAAGTCGTTATTATTTTTTTATAAAACTCTGACATCACGTGTATAGTGATAATAATAAGATTGACAAACTTTGCTGTTTCATTGATGAAGTCCGAGTAAAATTTAGTGGCATATATAGATATATATATAAAAATAATAAATAAAAATAAATTGTTATTATTAAAATCGTCGTAAAATCATAGTATATAAAATTAGTACACGTTATAATATATATGTTCAATGATGGAGCTCTAAATAATATACAAGAGCAGGAAATTTATAATTATAGGTGTTGTAATGGTATGTTTATACAAATTGATTTATTAAATAATAATAAAATATAATAATCGTAGTAAACTGAAAAATCGATAAATAATGTATACGTATGTAAGTATAAATATTAATATAATACATAACCATTTCCGCTGAAGCCGCGATATTATCTTTAAACGTCAAAGAAGATTATATTTCAAAGAACTCAATAAGATTCTAACAGTAATATTTTGTTACAATCAACGTAATTAAAATTACATTGTTGGAAACGTACCATTAATTTTGCGTAAAAGAGTTAATTATTATATTAATCTCGTTATTTACAATGGAAATTTATATTTGTATTAATTATTAACAATATTAGAACGGCAATTACAAAATTGTTTACGTGCAATATAACAAAAGACGAAGTATCAAATTGTTTGGCACATTCGCCCTTGCTCCACTTTGTGTCCGGTCGCAAAGTTAATTCAACTTCTCTTCTCGTTCCATTAATACGTGACAATGTAGCATTAGATATTTCGTGGACATTGTTTTTTTATAACTAATTATTAGATATCTATTCTTTGACGTCAAACGTCCTCTACAAACTAAATATTTATAAGTACCTATGTCTTTATGTTATAAATTTTCCAATACTGTGATTTTTATAATAACTATCTGTTATAACAGATATGTCCAAATAAATACTACTTGTAATTTCCCTCTTTAATCGTACTTTTGCAAATGTAAAAAAAAAATTGTTAATCCCGTCCACCCGTTCTCAAGCAATGTGCTTTAATTCTGTTAATAAAGCAAACAACCTTTATGTTTTTACTCAAAAACTACAGATATGTATTATTAAATATTTATTATCTATTGTACTCATATTGGAGAAGTTAAGTTCGCTCTCACAATCTCAAATTAGTCAATCGAGTTTCACCTTTAACACGTGAGAAATATCCATACAGAGGTCATCTCTAGCCGAGAGTGCAACATTCTTGAGAAGTGCAAACTACGCCACTCGCATATTAGAATTATTATTTATAATCACCTATGTATGTAGTTAACATATTAGATCGTCTAATATTTTCTTATCAGACGATCTCATATCTTTCTTATAAGCATCTCTCCAATAAATAGCTAGATATATCTCTCATAATGCCGCTTTTGATTTTTCTATATTTATTTTAATTTTATTCTAGCTTTCTATATAACTATTACAATTACTACGTTTTATGACATAAATCCACTGATAGAAATATTCACAGAATTTGATAAAACCGCGTTCTATGTAGATGAAGCGGTGGAATTTACTTTTAATTAGGCGTATTATTAACTCTATAATTGTATTGTCTGAACAAAGCTAAGAAATACTTTCACGGTTTATACAAACTTAACTATTAATAAAAGTTTATATATTAATATTTAAAACATCTAACATTTCACATAAAAAGAAAAGAGAAAGAAATAATTCATAGAATCATCATTCACACAGTAACGCATATAAAGATCCCTTAAAAAATTCGTTTTATCTAATCATAATCTGTCCTATCTAAGGTACGTAATACTATATTAATACTACAGTATAGTTTTTTTTTACTGTGTTAATATAAAAAAAAATGGTCCGAAACACGTGTAAATCCCTACAGATTGAAAAAAGAATAATGTCAAAGTCGGTTCAGAACCGGCAAAGATATCGCGTATCATAATAAAAATCAGTAGTCGAATTTAGAACATCCTTCATTTTTAGGACACTTAATAATAGAATGATTGTGTAAAGATCCCTTCATTTACCTTATTCACAGCATTAAGCTATCCATTTAGATACCTAACTCACTGAAGAGACACTTTCATTTTATTTGGTCGGAATAAAAGCGAAAAAAATGATAAAATTTAATACAGATTTATATTCCTTAAGAGGTTGCCATAAAAATCAAACGAGTGAAAGAAATCAAAGCTTTTATGGCCACCAATAATAATATTTCAATCTAAAAAACCTTTTCACGGATCCCAACTTCCTGACAAAATAACATTTTAACTCCTTTGTTGAGCTGACTCCCGTCAATCAGTTTGTCTATCTATTACGAAGTTATACTACCTATATTCGATATTAAAATTAGATTGAAATGGATTTGGCTTGTATCCAATGAATTGTAACTTTTGGGAAAATAGGTTATGTACATACTATAGTTAAACTTTAACTAAACTCTTCGGTAATTAAGTCAATTTCTAGATTATTATGTAAAAGTAGACATGTATGTACTTGTACATATAAGCAGTTACACTCAATAGTTAGTTAATCATTATTATTATAAATCTCGGCCATAAGAGTCTTGCCTTTAGGTGGATCGATTTTATCTTCTAGTCCATTTAACTGACGCTTTACTTAATTTTACATACAATTTTTTTTCATTATAGAATGTGTCTCAAAGAACTGAGAATTTAAAAATATTGATTTTATTATTTTTTTAAATCAAATTTGAAAGGAACCTTTCATACCAAACCATTCACGAGACCGCATGGTAGTATATATACGTATATAAAAAATGAGAGGTATCACAAATAATATTTTGAGATTTCATCTTTGCTCAATAGAAAAAGTTGTTCAATTAAATTAAAGACTTGAATCGCGACTTATTTTTCCCAGTAGGTACCTAAAATAAAAAAATAAAAACTAATTTTACATTGACATTAATCTCACGGTGACTTAGTTACCAAGCTTTATTAAATCTCTATATCACCTTAAGTAAAAAGGTAATCTTTAAATAAGTCTCGTTATAAAGTAAATCCGTAGTAAAGTCCGTTAATTTTGTTCACAGATCTACGATGTTGATAAGGTGTCGGACGGCACTGTGTGCCGTCGCGCTCCTTTTGGCCGCCACGCCCACTACTTCAGAGGTAAAAACGATGTTATTTATTTTTTAAGTTATTTTAAATTTATTTTTTTATGTTTTATTACTGTAAATTGTTATTATTTGCATTATTATTTTAAATAAGTTCTTCTATTTTTTAATTGCCTATAATATTTAACTTTTATTTTTACTGCATATTGTTATTTTTTTTTAATAAATTAAATTTTTAACAAATTACTTTAAATTGCTCATTTTCCATTAATAATAAAATAAGGAATATCTAAACGAATTTGATATAGATTTATCCAGTTTAGGTCGGAATGTTTATTTTACCTACTATTACATAATAATAAATATTGTACTTTTTTCTGTTGCAATACCACAATCTGAACCCAAAAAAGAAACAAATGCCTAAAACTCGTTTATAGAAAGCGTCCAGAGATAATACACAAAAATTGAGACTAAAAACTGTCTATATTTTATCTGCGCCCGTACAGTCATTAAAAAGAGCTTTTTGTACATATTAAAAATATGTTTTTATTTTTAATATTTGCCTACAATATTTATAGAGGTTTCCAAATACATTTTACTATAAATATATCTCATATATTATCTACAAATACAATATAACGACATGTTTATATACTTGCAATTTAGTTTACTCGCACCAACCTAATTGTTGTAATGTAATTTACGAGGTAAATATATATTTTCTAAGATTAATGAAATATACGACATTAGGTATATTATTTGGCAAAGTTCCTAATCACCAATATACGCAAGATCCTTTTTCTAAGTGCTTTATTATCATACGCCATACGATTAGTTCGCTTTCGTTTTGGCAACTCGACAATCGACAAGTCGAGCAATTATCTTAAATTGAATTTTTCTGATGCGACAACATTTTGGCTATGAGGAAATGGAAATTAATGTAATTAGTTAAATGATTAATGAGATAGTGTCAGCATTTAATTTTTTATACATCTTGAAATGACGAACACACTGGTGTCCTGTAATTTTTTATTCAATTTAGTTTACTATTTGTAGTGTATTTATATTGGTATATACTGTTGTTGTTGTTTTTTCTAGATTTATTTACTTTTCATAATAAAAAGTACCAATAATATCTCGAAAACAAGAGATAGGAGTATAATCTTTAAGTTCTCAAGTGTAACAACATATATGACGACTTACGCACGACGTAATAAGTTTAAAATATCCAATATATGTATGTATAGAAGATATGGTAGCAGTTACAACTTTCCATTATGAGCTATTAGCTTATTTATAATTCAAAATAGTTATCAGTATCGTCCTTATATCATCCCACATCCACTAACTGTTCAATGAAGGTTTATTATTGCGTCAATCTAATCTAATTTTTTTTTTTCATACCGTTGAGGTGGCAAACAAGCTTACGACCCATCTGATAGTAAGGTGGGCCGTAAATAAACCTCATTACCCCTTTTTTAAAGAATCCCATGCTGTAGTCTCTTGGAAAAACCTCCTCTAATAATCAATTATGAAAAAATATTATTCCTTTTTCTTTCTACCTTCTACTTTTTTATATATTACTAAATGTATATTAAAAAAAATAATTATCATATCGTCAGCTTTGTCATGATGAAGTATATTATCTTTGTTACATGAACCCTTGCATTCTCTTCGCTATGAAAACATAACAGACAGGCACTATTTATAGTAGGTAAAGGTGTGTAATTACAAACTTCCAACTACTCTCGTCCTTCTGTTCCCACGCCTAAAGTTTCTATCCAGTTTGACGGGGGAAGCGATGAGATATTTATTGATACCAACTGAAAATACTAAATGTACATATACATACATAAATAGAAAATTACAGAACTTGAGAAAATGACGAATATAATTATGATCATAAACCTATCATTCTTTAAAAAAATAACAATGACGTCACATTTTATTATTTCCTCGCATCAAGACCGCTCACGTTTAAGGATCCCGAATGGTCCCGAAACTAGTTCAGCTTTCTCGACCTAATTATATGCAAATTAAACCGATAGTTATTACATTAAAACATAATGATGTCATAAAAAAGAGATTTACTGATCTTAATAAAAAAAAAATAAGACTATAAAATTAACGGCCCTTACCATTTCTGTAAACAAGTTTTTAATATATTTAGAGTACACGCTTTAGGAAACATACATTATTTCTCTAAAGATATTGTTTTGGGCCGGTCCTATTCTAATTTAATTTGTAACTAGCCTTTCTAAACTATTTGCATACAATTAAATGTTTTCCTATATAACGTTTGTTACTCGCTAACCTTTTAAAAATTACTAAATTTAATAATTTAATTTATCATTAAACAAAAAATGTAACTAATATTATTTTTAGACGATAAAATTAAAAACATTTACAACACAGCTATTTGAAAATGTTTTAACATTTGCTTAATTATTTAAGCGTAAATTTTACTTTTAATACAGGATAAAAACTGCACTAATTTATTGCTGGGAACTAATCACATATACCTAAACAAAATGAGCTCATTAGAAAAATGAGTTCTTTTGTGGATCATTAAAAAACATTGACCTATTAAAAGAACAATATCCTTCAATAAAGAATATATCGATGAAATTTACTATTGAATTCTGTTTGTGCGTACAACAGACATTTCCTGCACGGACTCGTCTCTCAATCATATCACCGGAACACATTGTATGTTAAACAAAACAAACGGTGCAGATTATTGAGCACAGTGTTATTGCGCAGTCGTATTTTCGTAAGGTATTGTATAGCTTTCAATTATGAACAGTGACAGTACCCAAACGATATAAGATTAAAACTTCATAAAGCCTCTGGTGCTTATAAAACTACACGTAAATGATTTAGAAGTCTTTGCTGCTTTTATAAAACTATAAATTGTAGCTCCAAGAGGGATAAAGTTTTAAATTAAATGCTCATACTTTTATTAGAAGTCTTGGGAATTCTTGACCTTTTCAATATTATGTTTACATGTCAATTATAATACTAGTTTTTTTTTTAATGGATAATAATGAAATGGTTACCCCACCCGCGCTATCGGTATACATCGACGGAGGACCAGCCCATCGTGACGAATTCAACAAGAATTGTTCACGATGGTTTCCAGGAACACATTAGGTCCACATGAAAGTCGACCTAATAGGGCATATTGCTAGCAATGGGGCTGTCAAACTTCATTGCTAAAAAACCCTTTCCCCTCTATAATACTATTAATAATAGTTAATTAAATAGGTAATATATAATTGTATTTTTTTTTGTTGAACTTTAACATATTTAAATTAATATTTTCTGTGTGATTCCAGCATAAAATGGGCCACACCTTTCTTTCCTGTGGGTGTCGTAAGAAACGACTAAGGGAAGACAAAGCATGGGCAGCAGCGTCCCTTTTAAAACGTCATCAAAGCCCGACTGCAGTTGCCAATCCGTTTGCCAAGCATGACGTCTACTGACTAAACCCCCCAAGGGGAAGGTTTATGTTCAGTAGTGGACAGTTAAGGACTGACATCATAATGATAAATGTAATGTTTACCACATATTATAGCAATCAACATCATCATTAAATCAGCCGTTAATTGTCCAGTGCTGGGCATAAGCTTCCTCCTATTCTGGGGGTTTTGTCAGTAGTCAGCACGCTTAGCAGACGAGTTGACAATCGCAGTTAGATTTCGATGTTGTTTAAAGATGGAATCTGCTACCCATTCCTCGACCAATGAGTTCCTTTAGTCGCCTCTTACGACTCCTTTGATATAGAAAGCGGTCACCAATACCATGCCGGGGCCACACAGCTATAAATATAATAAAAACTAAACCCAGTTATATCTATAACATAGTTATGAAAGTAGTTAATGTACTAGAAAAACTCATTAAATAAACTAAGTCGGGAAAAATTTATTTCGTCCTTAATTTAAGAAATTAACTTGGAAACTCTGTGAACGAAATTGCGGAAGTCGAGTCTATGCCGTAAGTTTTCCATTTAGCATATAAATAGGCACTCCTAGTTTCATCAAAGCATAGCACTGGAATGGAACTAAAAAAGCACTACCGTCTCGTATACACTTGCCGCTTAATTAAACTTAAATACTATGATCAACTAGTTAAATTCCGTTGCTTTCCTTACGTAAATGACTTACATACCTATATAACGTTTTTTGTACAAGGTCTCCTTCTGGTAAATACAATATAATGTATTCTTTATTGCCCTTATATAATAAAATACAGTGGAATAGTTATAAATATTATTATTAGGATAATCGAATTTGATTTAAAGTCTTCCAGTTGCCTATAACTAACACACGGTCACTGATAATATAATACACGGGCAAAGCTATGTGACGCAGCTAGTATTTAAATTAAAAGTATTTTGTATTAAACAAGAATGTATTTATTTTAATTTTTTACTTTTGCTAGATTAATTTTCTTTATCATGCAAACAAAATCGTCATTAAAACATGAAATATTAAAAAAATACTGTTAACAAAAGATTGACAACTTACTGTACTTTACTGTATTACCTAAACCCGTTACGTCCTCAATTATACAATCATTATTTTATTGATATGTGATATTTTCGAATGTTTTCTTAGATCTTCATCTCTCTATAATTATGAAATTCTCACGATGAAATAATGTCGTGTGAATGGGGTTTTAAGAGTCATATTTAAATTAATTTTCGGCACTAAACGCGACGCGCTTTCATGTAAATAATTACCTACTTAAAAGTCAGTTTAAAATTGCAAAGTACCTACTTTAAAGTCAGATTAAAATTGTAATATAATTATAACATAATATTTTATAACTAATACTTTTATCTTGTATTAAAAACAGGGAATAAATCTCTTTAAAATTCTCGGTAATCTTAAATACTAGATTTTGGCCGCAACTTCGTACACGGGGACTTAACTATATTAATATATGGTTGTATTCCTAAAGGTCTACTGTAAAAATTTATATATATTTCATCTTGATACACCATCTTAAAATGATCGACCTCAATGGTTTTTCTGCTTCTAAAATCCACGCATACAAAATAGTGGGCAATGATAATAATTAAATAGCTAATTAAAAACTTAAAATTAATGCTATTGCTAGTCCAGTATATAATATTGAAATTAATATAGATTTTCGGTGATATCGAGATGGGTGATGACCGTTGTTTGGCCATCAGAACAGAACAATTCAATATATCAAAGCGGTACCAATATCATTAATGCTTAGTTATAAGTAGACTTTACTCCGCAAAAAATAATATTGAAATTTCAATTGTAAATATTTAAATTAAAAATATGATAATAACAAATAATTTTTGCTTCATAACAAACAAATGTTAACACTATGAAAATGAATTACAAATTAAATACCACAATATTATATGGAAATAAACCCAATCGAATGTAATTAATTAAATCAGCATCTACTCGCCCTCGGTAAATTTAAATGATCTCTATAATAATAAACTATCAGTTACTGTCAGTTAAATAAATTTCTAATGAACTCTATTACCAAGTCAATATCATAAATATTGATAAACTAGCGCATCAATAATTGAATATATAACTAAATGTTTAGTTAAACCAAAGTGGAAACTGTTGATCTGTATACAAGCTTGTATAAACAAATAAATTGAGTTACTAAATATTTAAGTGCTTGCACTAGGCTGATTGACCGGTTTCAGAGAAATCACAAACACTTGATTTCTTATAAGCTATTTCAAAGTATAAAATTAAGAGTACAATAATTTCAATTTTCTATTCACTTGTTTAACTAATATATATAAATATAATATATATAAATATAATATAAAACATATTAAACTTTCTTTTAAACATTTTAAACAATATTTAAAACACTGTTCTTCTACACTAACTATCTAAACATTGTTTAGATACTCAGTGTAAGTAATAATGTTTATTTGTAATTTTATATACCAAAATCTACAGATTATTATAATAAATTATATTACTTTACAAGTTTATTCTTTTGTAAAAAGACTGAATGTATCTATCTAGTCGTTATTCATCTGTGCGTTCTATTTTTTATTAGTGTTAAAATATTATTACATCTCAATATTAATATTGTCATAACTGTAATCGGTATTTTCTTCAGAGCAAAATACTTAATGCCTTTATAAAGTAATGCCCAGTAACAAATCAAGTTCAATGTTCAATATTTGATCCATAATCATCATCTTATCAGCTGTTAACTATCCACCGGTGAACATAGGCCTTCCCTATAAAGGGAGGTTTTGCCAATAATTGCCAAGCTTGACAGGGGGATTAGCAACCATAGTTTTTGGTGATGTTTTAAGAAAGACGCTGCTGTCCATCCCTCGATCATTAAGTTCTTTTAGTCACCTCTCACGACACCCACGAGAATGAAAACAGTGGCCTATTAATCCTATCCGTAAGTGAGTAAAGAAAAAAATACGAGTGCATTTATGTGAGCGCATATCGAATTCGTAAAGTACAAAGTCAGAACCTTGTTCATACGAAATAAGGCAATCACTACAAGCTATAATTAAAAAAAAATACTATTATTTATGATTGTCATCACATGAAATATTAATTACAAATCGTCAGATCCACGAATATTTTATCCGGTCACGGGTAGCGGGTGTCCTCGACAACTCACTTTCCCCACTTTGGCAACCACGAAATGTTTCATTCAGTCACGATCGGCCGTTGTATATCAATTTCCGAGTGGAAAACTGTACTGCGACCGCAGACTGGCTTATTCTGTTATGTGGTCGAAGAATGGTTCAGTCTCAGAAAAATAACGTTCAGTATAAGTTCTAGTTCCACTTCACCGATTGATCTAAACTGAGTCTTTATTTTTAATGGGTGGAAATAGAATGGTAATCCCACCTACGCTATTGGTTTGCGCTGGTGAGACACCTGTGAGAGATGATACATGACGATGACAGCAGAGCAGTTAAATCATTGTGATGAATTCCGTGTGGTCACGGCATAGAATAGGCCACCCTTTCCTTTCCTGTGAGTATCGTAAAAGGGGACTACGAGAACTTAATGGTACAGGGATGGGCAGCAGTGACCCTCTTTAAACATCTCCAAAAGCCTTACTGCGTTTGCCAACTCGCCTGCCAAGCGTGGCAACACTACTGGCAAAACTCCTCCTATAAGGAAGGTCTATATTCAGCAATGGACAGTTAACGGCTGAAATGATGATGATGAATGAATACCGCAAGATTTAACCACGATGATCCCTAAGAGGAATCACGTGAAAGTTGACCTGATAAAGTATATTACTAACAACAGAACTTTCAGACCCCATTAATGATAAACCTTTCCCTCTCTAAGTTGAGTCTTAGCTACATATAAATTAATATAGACGAAACCATGAAATAACTGTATAGACGTACTTATGCGAGTTGTGATTAATATCTAAGGATTGACCGATTCGAATGGTTAAAATCAAAACTTTGTTTATAATCTATGTGCAACCAAATTCACTAAATTATATTTTAGAACTTCATATTTTTAATATTTAAACAACAACTGAATTGCACATTCATATAAAAGTACCTACACATTATCATATGATTCTTATTTATTTAATATTATTATTTCATAAGAATCTTTATAGTTCTTATTCATAGCTGTACTTTTTAATTTGATTAAAAGTGTTTTTTATTGCCAGTAATTTTTTTTTCATACATATATAATAAAAAATGTTTATTATTTTTTTTAAATAACCATATAATGTATACGATATCTAATTATTATAAATGAAAATTCTCATCATACCCTTCGAATAAGATAAACACATTAAGTTATTATGCCCCTACACAGACATCATTGACATTTTATCGTATAAATGTCCATCCAAGCCCGACATTGCGTGACCAATAGAGCTATAAACGTTCCTTTTATATTGTACATCACTAAATGAAGCCATTAATTTGAGGCAGATTATTATAATAGGTTACTATTTACATCTATTATAATAAAGTTACAGCTTTTTTTTTGTTTTTCCGTCACGTGAAACTTCTGAACGGTTTTTGTTCATTTGTAAGGGAATTAGTGAAAGTGAAATTTAAAATTGTCAATTGTTATACAAATTTGTAAATTTCAAAGGGTATGCGAGGGTACGCAACGTATCATGTGACATTGACGAATGATTGACGTTTAGTAAAGAGTGAAAGAGTTTACGAATGTGATTGATGAGATGTGTGCGAGCGAGATATTAGATAAATGTAGTTATAAGGAGTAAATAGGATAGAGAATAAAGAAAGTTCGAAAAGATCACGATTTACACATTGAATAGTTTATATTTATATTATCCAAATCAATATTTCATTCCCTATTTATAGTAAAAAAAGAACTTCTTAGTGGTTAAATTATCTTAATCGTCAATGAATTGTTAACAGATTCGTCGACGAAATAAATTTTATAGACAAATTACAAATAAATCCATTTTACACATGAAAAACAATGGGACACCTAATATGCTATTTCGCTCTTTCTTACGCCCGTAGCTACCATTTTAACTTATCCAGTCTGCCCTTTGCATCTAGCAGTGTAATATAACCAATATGATAGTAGGTAAAGTAAACCATCTAACAGTGTAAACGATGTAGGAATATGATATTGCTATCTGCAATGTAAAACAAAACATATGACTACTGCATAGGGATCTATATCCTTTTGTTACTGTTTATTAATATTTTGTTTGTTCTTTTTCAGAATCTCTTCACATGTCCAAGCGGTAAGTTAACCTTTTTTTTTCAGATATACATCATTATCATCATATCAGCCGCTATTTATGCATTGCTGAACATATACATTCGCCACATAATAAATCAATTACAGGATCTACATTTCAGGAGGCTCTATACAATAGTTTATTTTTATATTAATTTAGTTATTTGTTCGCGAATACAGTCATACATCTGATATCCTCTTAAATACCTAGTTACCAATGGAATCTCATTTCAAGCATATCAAGTTCTTACTCCCCGTGTATGTTTAAAGCAATGACTCTCTTACAATTTTATAAAGTTTCAAGGGTTCATCAACTTGTTGAAATTAGAAATTACATAGAAAGAGAATACCACGGGTACTATGCCTAATTTACGAGAAATTACCCTCGAAGTTTTCCTTAGGTAAACCTTAGATGTAGATTATGTAGAGTGGGTGAGATAAAACAATTTAGAGACATGAGTAGAAGTGCTTTAAGAAGGTCTTATTGGTATTTAAATTACATTACACAATTTATTTACAAAATTCAAATTACTATTTTAATTATCTATTTTGAGATTAACAAACTGATTTATTAGAATAGCATAATATTTATAAGATTTAGAATAACATTATTGTAACTAATAATACTGTAGACAATACAATTTAATGATAAATCGTCATGCAGTATATTCATGTAAATAGTACTTAAACAGTACAAAGAATTATATTCTTTGGCAAGTATCCTAGTCAAATATGTCAAGTATAATTGTGTATGCCTATAAAGGCAGAGGCAGACCAAAAAATATAAATGAACTGTGTGAAGGATGATATAGCCAGGATGAGAGTGAATGCGAAAATAATTACAAATGGAGAAAACTAGAAGTGAAAAAGTTATTATGACCTTAAGACCTATAATAAATAATTGAAATAATGGTAGAAAGATGATGACATGCCGTTTATTATTACAGTTTACAGTTGACACATTACAGTTTAAAAAATAATTGTTTTTAAAAATAGAATATTATCTTTTCAATAATATACACTAAAGAATCCTGTTAATAAAAAACAAAAGGTAAACAAACATATACCTTATGTCTATTACATTTGTTCTACTAATAGAACTAGATCATTAAATTATTGCTCCATCCGAGTATGAATACAATAAATGGAATAAGCAAAGCGATAATTACAACAATGAAAGATTATGGAAAGGATATCATCATTACCTTCTTGAAATCTATGTCAAACGAATAACTTATTTCTTAATTCGAATAATCGTGCAATGTGGTTTGTGAAGATCTGTTTGAGTACATATTTTTTCACATAATTGTAGTTAGCAAGAACAATGCCTTATGCAATTTTCTCTATGTCGCAACAAACTTTTAAGCTACACCTACACTTAACTTGTGCAATTATTGTCATAGCTATCTATGGGTAGCTCAAAATGACATCTCTGTGTTAATAAATAACAAATTTGTTGTACATGCAAGTACTATGTCGTAGCTAAATTCGTGAATGACAGTTTCATCATACTGTTTGTGCTAAAATTAATGAGGTCAAAAGTAATTTGTAAGTATACAAAAAGAAATTGACGCAACCTGAACCGTAACAGAAACTAATGAGTTTAAAACATATAATTTTGTATTAGGGTTCCTTACATATTATCAATATGCACTACGAGATTTCTCAAAATCCCTACAGGAAAGAGATAGAGTACAATGAACTTCCACCAACAAAGCTATATATATTACTTATAATAAGAGGTATACATATATGTGGATACAATTAATATTCTTACAATATCATTTTTTGTAAAAAAATTATCTCGTCCAATTAGATACACAATTTCAAATAATAATGCTGTAGATTTAAATTAAAAATATTTATAATCACACCAGTATATCTCTCGCTTCATTTTTCAAGAGTCTTTTGAGAGAAGAGATTCTGGAGACTCTTTCTGATCACGATAAAAAATAATAATTTATAAATATGTAAAAGCTGTATATGGATATTATAATACACCTATACACGATCTCTATATGAACTACCTAGAAAAAACTGGTTTATACGGATATTTGAGACCGTTTGTTAGACCAGGTCATGACTCACACAACGAACATGTCGTGAAATGATTTCACATAGAGTGATTTCTATATGGTTTTATTTTCTAATGACCTTGCTCGACGCATCCGCATCGCGAACTTGATGACTCGACATTTCCGTTTTATAACATATATAGTGGTGTGCAATTAAGTTTAATTAAAAATCTATAAAGTTATTGGTATACAAAAAAACCATAGATGCACAATAAGAAACTAAAATGCGATACTGCAAATAGAGCGCGGATAAATTTTGCGCTCAGTTCTAATCATTTACTGACGTTTGTAATCAAACTTGCTGAAATATTCTCGCAAATTTTATAAAAATTAAGTCAATTCACGATAAGTATTCGGCTACATTCTAACGCCTTATCTTATGACAACTATTTATTTTTGTATTCTAAATTCGGGTGTATAAATTTTGGGTTTCTCTATCTCAATGTTAGAAAACGTAATAAGTATAGTATTTACTGTTTTAACTAGAAATGATTATTGGAGTTTTATATAATCGGTTCAGTGCTAGCCAATAAGCTTCGTGCAAATATAAGTTGCCAACTAACTATTCGATGGTACAAACATCATAAACAAACGTGATTGATTCCGAGGACTATAACGCTTCTATCGATTTCTACTCTTTATAATGAATATAGAGAACAGTTACCAGAATGTCTCTGATCACTCCATACTGAAATCGGTCGTGAGCATTTTTATTTTACATTATTTAGCATTGAAGAATATCTGCTGGCGGCGTCTATTCTTGCTTTAATCCTGCTATAAGCCCTATTAAAAAAAATCTTATAATCAGTATTTTTTCACGAGTTTTTTTTTCATTTAATAATTTGATTTGAATGAAATTTAAGTACACATCATCTACCACAATTACATATATATATAGGGTAGTAACCTAACTGCATAATACCTCAAATGTTAGGAACTATCCAATAATAATCAGATTTAAATGGATCAAAAGCATTATAACGAATGGGAATATCATTACAGTTGCCATCAAACACAGACGGTGTAGACGATTTATCATTCATAGTGGATAGATGTTTTAATTATAGTATTTTATAATTAATGACTCTTAATGCATTATTTATATTTTATCATAACATTTTAGTGGTAAAAATACTTTGTGTACTTTTACACATACAAACTCACACATACATACATACACAACACACGCACACACACACAAAGTACCTGCATGCTGAAGCTTCTTCAAAATAGAGATTCTCGTTATCAAGCTATTTTTAAAATCTTCGCCGATTCTAAATCAAATTATAATAAATATTATTGCGATCGTTTTACTTCTGTATTGGGTCTATATTAATATTTTAATTATTGAAATAATCTTTTTGTTGAAGTAAATCTTAAATTATGGAATTTAATTGTAATCATGAGCATCCTTTTAGCGAGAAGAGGTAACTTTTATATCAATTTAGTACCTATCATTTTTATTTTCAACCCACGTTCCTTCTGGAATAAAATTTGAGATTTACTTGTAGAATTCTTTGAAAGGATCTTAAAGATTTAAACTTCACCCTGTAGACGTAAGAATATACATGTTTATTTGATAGCTTCCTTTAATATCATCCCAGGAGCGTACCACTGGAAAATGTATGGGCGTGTAGATTAACCGCCGCATAATTACCGTAAGGAAATTGCCTTCCATGTTTAGTGCGAATACCTAGAGCAGCTGAGTTGTGCAATCACACCGTTTCTCGTTTAACCAATCATCACAGTATGGTGTGTTAACAGGCTCGTAGGTTTGCGTTCTCGTGATGGGTTAGAGTGGTTTCGTCACTATTTAGCCTAAACATTATAAATATATTTACTTCTAGTAGTATTTTAAATGAGAAAGAACATTAATATATTTGTATCTTTAAGTATTTAAATGTCTATTTATTTGTTACTTAAAACGAATATAATTAAACTTGATACACAAATAAATCATATAGGATATTTTTATAACTTACCGTAGCATAATATCATATCGTACCATTTTACCGTTACGATATTATAGGACAGCAATATATATTTAGGTTTTTTCAGTGTCAGCAACGTGCACGTGACATCTTTAGTTTTGCAGCCGTACATAGGCTACAGTAACTATTTACCATCAGACGAGCTGTATGCTTGTTTGCCACCTTCGTGGTATAAAAAAAAGTTGTAAAATGTAACGATTTTGATTTTGAAGTTTCACGAAGCTATCATGAACATAGACAGCTTGTCAATATACATACATACATATACATACATATTTATGCGATGGATTTAAAAATAAATTGTAAATTGTTTATGAGTAATAATAATTTGACTCCATCAAATTCTCCTGAATAAAATGAACCTTATACAATGAAATGTTTCAGTTATTCATGTAAAAATGTTAGAGCTGATGCATACGTTTTACAAATACTCATTACTTGAGAACACTAACGAAGCTCACGGTTGTCGTTATTCATGGAATGTAGCAAACACCAGCGCAGATATATTGAGTCAATTTCGAATTGAAATTAGCACGTGTGACTTGTGAGTCTTCGTATTGACTCCTAACGAACTAGTTAACTGTTACTACGCAAACACGCTCAAACAAATAATTCTACATTCACACCTAATGTATTAAAACAATACGGAAGATATAAGAGTATAAATACTCATTGACAGTTTCTACTACAGGAAAACTAAAAAAAACACACACACACACACACACAATGAAAGCGTAAGTATATAGTGCGTCATTATACTGTTCAATAGTGATTCACTCTGGCTTCTCACGGGTAGATAAATAAAAAGAGTACAAATTTATTTAAAAAAAATACAACTCATAATACTATAGCTTTCTATAATCAAATATTTCAAGTATTTTATATAATACTTACTCAATCTAATACACATTACTTATCTCAATAGTAAACAACAAGAA